GGGGGGGGGCGGTATCGGGATTCCAGCGCAGACAGAGCGGTGTCGCAAAGGTCGTTGATCGTTTGCGAGGCATTGGCGGTACTTTACGGTGCATCGACATTTGGCCTTGGGTATCACGGGAAGCTTTGGGTATCGAGATGGATGAAATCCAATCAGTCGTCCTCCTTCTGAGGCGGAGGACCGCAAGGCTGCAGCATCTTTTCGGTGAGCTCGAACTTGACGCGCGCCTTGCATTCTCCGTCCGCCAGCGCCGAGTACGCCAACAAGGGCGGATGGCCCACGATGGACGAGCTGGTGTCGCGCATCTGGTGCGTGATCCACTCGCTGTTGCAGTCAAAATTACAGCAGAGGAGCGAAAAGACGGCACGGTCAGCTTCTTACAGCCATCGAGCAAAGACACGAGAAGCACAACGCAAGCAGCGGGTACTCACTACTTCTCGGTGTCGGCGTTGATGGTGCCGGTGTATCTGCTGTGCAGATGCTCCAGCTGCGAAGCCGCCGTGTATCGTAGATCCGACATGCTGGCGTATGACCTTGCCCGTGCGATGGACGATGTGGTGGGAGGATGGAGAGGTTAGGACACTAGGGCCGTCGCACTCCAAATCCAACTGCCACTCGACTTTTTTTCTTCCCAGGCCCCCCGCGCTCTCGATTGGCTGATCACCTGCCAGCCTCACGACCCATTTTCTTTTGGGGATTCGTAATAATGACAAATTGAGACTGAGCCCGCCGCCCAATTTTGGATCGCCGATTGAGCGCAGACGCGTCTGATTTGCTGTGCGCGATGCTGTGCCAGCTGCCTTATGCACTCCGACCCCTGGCTGCGATGGGCCTTGGAAATGGAAGTGAAACGCGAGCGAGACAGCATTACGACGCATGGCAGCCGGCACAAAGCACCAGACGACAATCCAACCCCTTGCCTTGCGGCTCGATCGTGTTGCGCTTACAAACACTGGCTCGCACATGAGAAGGCTGCTGCCGGCCAGCTTGGTGCGATTCCGATCCCAGCACAATGGTGCAAAAGCCATAGTGCTGGCAAGAGAGCGAGAGAAAATCCGAGAGGCCGAAGTGCGAAAATCGAGGCGAAGCGTGTCATGGCTCGGCGTTTTTGACAGCTGCACGCTGCATCTCGGCCATCAGTGCCGAGCCACATTGGCTTGGCCGCACCATCCGCACTCGTCTCGTTCCGCAAGGGTCCCTGACGGTGCAGCGTCGCCTCGCCGCACTTCGGTGCTGCGCCTCGGGACGCTCAGCTCGTCATGCGTTGCTCCTGCCTCGGTGCCGTGCACCTGCTCAGCGCGTGCGTCGCCATGATCGAGACCGCACGCCTCTGGCTCAGGGTCCTACCGGCCCTCTTCGGCGAACAGCCTTGGGCTCTCTTCGAGTAGTGATGCAGCGCGCGACGACGTGCGCAACAGCGCCGAACGCGATGCATCGGATCAGCATGCCGCACTGCACGCCGCTCCCTCGAGCCGTCTGTCTGGCTCATCACCGAGTTTGCTAGCCGCAGGCAAAGCACAGTATCACGCTCGCAGCTGTCCGCACGAGCTGGCTCGGCCCCCGCGTACCAGGTGCAACGATCTTCGTTGCAGCTTCACCGTGCAGCCTCCCTGTAGTGCGTCGCCGGTCCTCCAGCCTGGATCGCTCGTTTCCATCCTTGCTTCGCTAGCGAGACCTTACCCTGTCTCGCGGTCCTGAGCTGGATGTGCCCACGTCCAGTACACCTCGTCCATCCTCGACGACCTCCATCTTTGCACTCCATCATCCTCACCAGGTCATCGCCTCCACCCTCCTCCATTTCATAACGTGAGGCATCATGTCGTCTCAAGGCGCAGCTGCTGGTGGCGGCGGCGCCCACATGACCACCCTCTCCACCTCCCTCCTCGCCGCAGCATGCACAGCCGTCGTCGCCGCTTCCATCTTTGTGCTCGTCGCCCTCCGACGCTATCTGGCCGCCAAGAAGCGCAGATCCACCATGATCGCCCCCCAACCAGCCCCGGCGACCGCCCAGGCCATCTACACGTCGCACCTCAAGTCCAAATCGATATCCACCGAGGACATCAGCGAGCCTCGCCTCCACTACGCACCAGAACGTGCCCACAAGGCCCCGTACGACCTCAGCAAGATGTCGCTCGCGCAAAAGACCGTCGTATCCATGCGCCAGCAGGGCTTTCTCCCGTCCAAGCCTTTCGGTTCGCCCAAATTTCCCAAAGCCGCTCTGCTCTCGCCAAGGATGCAGCCTCCAGTCTCGGCCGATCTGCCTCCGCCACGCACACCAAAGTCTCCGGGCCTCACTGAGCTCGCCATGTCGCCCGGCCCAAGCATCCTTCTCAAGCCCATGACGTACGGCAAATCGCCCGTATCTCCCGCCAAAAGCCCTGTCGCTGCGATAAAGAAGCCGTCCCCAGAGCAGAAGAAGAAGCTGACGCGCAGCGCCGTGCCCTCCATGCTCCTCCGCAGCCTCGGCGTGTTGCCCGACTTCTCGGCTTCGACCTCGCAAGCGAAGAAAGCGGAGCCATCAGCGGACGAAGACAAGGAGATCATCGCAGACAGCAAACAGCAGCAGGATCCGCAGCAAAGTAAGGAGGCTGACGAGCCTTCGCTCACACCCATCCTCGATCTCGGCATCGACTTTGGTAACGACGAGTCCTTCGAGCAGTCCCTCAAACTACGCGGCAACTTCTCCTTTGACTCGGACAGCACAAGTTGGCTCGACTCGTCAAAGCAGCAGCAGCCCGACCTCGAAGCTCAGCAGCCTGCTAAGAAAAGTGCCGGTCTCGCCGGCCTTATCGAGGCTCTGTCACCACAGCTGCCCGAGACCTCGACTCTGCCCGTGGGCCGCATTAGCCCTCCAAGTCGTCTCACTGGTTTGCCCTCACCCGCATCGTTCCGTTCACATCTTCCCACTCCTCCGCCATCTGCAGGTCTTCCGCCAGCTCCAACCACTCCGTCCATGCACAAGGTCCCCTCGAGCAGCTCGCTGCAAAGCAAAGCCAGCAGAGCCACGGCTTCTTCCGCTCAGCCTTCCGCCGGCCAGTCTTTCCACAGCGCCGCCGACTCCATTGGCCAGCTCTGCATTGACATGTCCGCCGACGGCCCCGAAGACGAGGCGAACTCACCATCGTTCCACAGGCTCAGCCTCGGCTTCGGTCCACAGAAAAGCCCCTCGCAGGGCACTTTCAACAGCATCTTTGGTGGTCTGCGCAAGGCTCCGGTGCGAGGCGACGATATCGACCTCGAAGCGGCCAACTCTTCCACCGACGGTGCGTCGACGCTCCACTCGTCTTCGAGCGACGAACTCTCTTACAGCTCGTCCCAAACCAGCATGGATATCGAGGCCAACACGAGCTTCGGCAAGGCGAATGTCGTTCCCGCCGCATGCGTCCCTCCTCTGCCCCCAATGCCCATCTCGCTTCAGCAGCTTGCCCAGGACAGGACACCGCAGGCCGAGTCGCAACCTGTCTTTGCCGATGACTCGGCCACGCCTCGTCCGAGCCGTAAGCGGGCTTCGACGCTGGGAGCGCTTGACCAGCCCAAGCTCGCCATGCCGGATCTGATGCACCCTCGGGCCGCGCCGCTGCCCCCCACGGGTACTGCTGGCAAGATCGCAGAGCCGACGATCAATGTGGAGCCGGTGGAAGTGCACCGTGCAGAGCTCACCAAGCTCAAGGCCAAGTCGACCGATCATCTCCCTCTGAAGGCCAGCCCAAGAGGCGCGGCGACGATGAACTTCAAGAGCCCCTACCACCGAACGCTGATCCCCGACCCACCCATGGATGGCGCTCGCCTCTCGCCGGGTCTGGGTGCGGACAGCCCGATCCTGGCGCAGCTCAGCCCCAAGCTGCTCGGTGGCTCGCCGGGCGCCAGTCCCAGGCCCAGCTTCACCGAGAGCCTCAAGGCTAGGCTGAGCCTCTCGCGCAAGTCGCTCACCAGCTCGCCTGGATACACTTCGCGCAACAGCACGCCGCGTCTCGACACCATCAACCAGTTCCCCAAGCCCGGCGGCGATGGCTCGCACTCGTTCGCAGATACCACGGCAGCCAACAGCCCTGCTGCTGCAGACGCAACGCCGAGGCTCACCGCTGGCAGGAGCGTCAAGGGTGCAGCAAGGCCCGCTACCAGCCCTGTCGTGGGTCAGGCTGAGCAGGTCGGGCTTGGCTTCAGCCCCGCGATCTTGTTCAACGGTCAGGAGATCGAGCCCACCAGGCCGCTGCGATTCCAGAAGCCATCGTCGGCGGGCGGCCGTCTTGGCGGCTCGCCCCAGCCGCTGCTCTCGCCCGGCTCGCCATCGCCCATGCTCCACTCCGAGGGCATCTTTTCGCCCCTGGTCGACGGCATGGATGGCGGAGCGAGCCCAAGCGGCGAACGCATCGAGTTTGGGGTCTCGGAGCCGCAGTGGACCGAGAATGCCAGCTCGCCACTCGAGCAGACCGAAGCCGCCAGTCCGGCTGGCACCCCATCCGTTCAGACTCCCGCCACTGCGGACGACCTCGACAGCCCTGCGATGGACCGCTCGACGCCGCGACCGAACTCGTCGTCGGATGCCGGCGCATTCGCAGAGGATGAAGAGGAGCTCGAGTACCTCTCGCACCGCGATAGCATGATTAGCGTGGCTGCGTCGACCATCAGCATGATGAGCAACAGCACGTGCATGTCCGACTCGATGGGCGATGAGATCGACATGGCTGCGGATCGCCGTGCTAAGCTGCTTGCCAGTGTACAGCAGAACGTGGCCAAGGCCAAAGCCAAGGATGCCAAGCGCGAGAGCCACGCGGCCACCCGCTTCCGCAAGTCGCACATGTCGCACATGTCGCAAATGTCGCAGTCGTCGTCGCTGCGCAACATCCCCGAGGAGCTTTCAGGCGGTGCCTCGACGATGGGTCTCGGGCTCTTTGAGAGCGAAGAGGAAGACGCCAACGACGAGGAGAAGGAGAACCTCGCTGACAGCCCTCAGGGACACGGCCGCAAGAAGCCCGAGAACCTCGTCCTGATGCCTCAGCACGACAGCCGTCTCATTGGACCGCTGACGCCGCCTCTGACACCCATCGATGCTACGGCAGGACAGAAGCAGTCTCGCCACGTGGCTACGCCTTCGACGAGCTCGGCATCGTCTATGTCGTCGGCTGCATCGGTGCCTCGTCGTATGAAGCCGTCGCGTGGGCGACTGGCGCCTCTCGATGTGGGTGCGGCCAACCGACTCTCGCCGTCGGCAACTGAGCAGGGACGCGGCGGTGCCTCGTCGCCGTCGTCGCTCAAGCTGCGCCCGCTGAGCTTGGCAGCGAGTCTGCACAGCGGCGACAGCAGCCCGATGAAGCGCTTTGAGCGACCTGCGTTCTCACCGGCGCTATCGGCCAACATCCCCAGTCCAGGACCGGTGCACATGTCGGCGATGAACGAGCGCTCGGGGCGATACAACGAAGAGGGCCGCGCCTCACGCAGTGTCACGTACCGCCAAGGAGGCGTGCTGCCCACAGTCAACTCCAAGGGCGCTCTGGACACGGGCCGGGCCGGACACGCAGAGCCGTCGCTGACGCATTCGGACAGCTCGACTTCGATGGGCTCGATGGCCTCATCACTCGGATCGTTTTCGAGGATGGGCCACTTTCCAAGCCCCGTCCGCGCGAGCTTCTCCAACCAGGGCCTCGGCAAGGCCATGGGCATGAGGCCGATGATGATCGGCCGCAACAGTAACCAAGTCGACATGCCCGAGCTCTCTTCCTCGGCGAGCTCCCACAGCTTCGCCAGCAGCACTGGAGGTCGACTGGGCTACAAGACCAGCGACCTCTCCGTCACCGCCATCTAGACACTTTCACTTGGATTCACCCATCTCCCACATTCTTTCAGCTTTGTCTCTTTTGTACCCTCTCTTGATTTGCAGGCGGCTGGCGCGCGATGAGGACATCACCGGGAGTATCGCCGTCAGAGACGGTGGCTTCAGCGGGATCAGTCGCTCTCGCGTCCACCGCCCTGCCCCCCCTTCCCAGCTCCGGAATCAGCCTCTCTTCTGCGCTCAGCCAGAGATCGATGGCGCACTTCACATTCATTCACTTTTTGCCATTGTACATTTGCGGTCAAGCACCCAATCTCTGCTGTATCATACGGACCATTCAATCCATTCATCCTACAGATCATATCGTCTCGTCTGTACAGGCAGTGTGGCGTGCCGGGCGATTGGAGGAGGCGGGTCCACTGCGCTTGAGCGCAATATCGTGCAATGTTAGAGCTGTAGCACCTACAGCGACAGTAGCTGCCTTTTTGATCACGTGCCCCAAAATCAACCTCGGCCGAGCTTTGAGGTGGTCGAGAATTTCCACTCGGCCTGCAGCCCAAGTGCCGTGGTGAGGCTGCTCAGCCGGCGACGTGGCTCCAGGCCGCTCTGTTTGTGGCCCAGATTGGGAGTGCGTGCTGCTGCCGCATTCGAAGCCGAAGCCTTATTCTCAGAATTCGAAGACCGGGCGAGACTGGTGTGCAGGCCCGACTTTTCTGTGAGAGGGCAAGGTCGCGGCGAGCAAGCCCGAAATTTTCGCGCGGGTCCGAGTAGTGGCTACGAGGCGCTGGGCTGCCCAACGCCGACAGTGGCCGCGGTCGTCATCACCGTCTGCTGCCGACTTCCACCTCCTCAAGACCCATCACCATCCCCCCATACATCTCCGTCAAAATGGTAGGTAGCCAGCAAAAACATGCGTCGAATCGACACGCGCAGTTCAGCAGTACACAGCACGGAGGGCATCCATGTCGCAGCACCAGTTCAGACCGACCACAAAGCCAACGCAGATCCGACTCGGCGTGGCACAGCATGACCAGCATGGAACCGACGATGATGATACAGCAGAGATCCGCATCGGCACATATCGCAGAGTGCAGCAACGCTTCATGTGGCGATGAAGGCGTCGCAGTCGTTGTCAGCTGTTGTACATCACGAACTCGCATACGACATTCAGCTTGGCATGCAAAGCACCGATCACAACCTACGACGAACATCGCTCATGCTCTCTGCGGCTCAGCATGAACATCACCGTGGCGATGCTGCCGCTCACTAGTTGGCAGGCACGAGTGAATTGGCAACAACTTGCAGATGTCTTAAAGTGCGACCGTCCAACGATATTTCGTCTTGCCGCGGTATCTTTCTATCAACAACTTCAGTCCCTAAGATGCAGTTCGCTGCCATCATGCTACCGCACCGCCACCGCAGCCATCATCGCAGCTGAGACAACACCTCGCCACTCCAACACGCCCGACCTTTCCCGACATGGCATGCCCTTCATACTGCTTCGACGACCTCGCGCGGCAACGCCATCATGCACACACGCTTACAAGCCCATCTCTTCCGCTTCGCACCACCATTGCTCTCACCACCAATAGGTTGTTAAGACGTTCGAGCTTCAGTCGAAGTCCAAGGGTGACCTCACCAAGCAGCTCGAGGAGCTCAAGACCGAGCTGCTCAACCTTCGTGTCCAGAAGGTTGCCGGTGGCTCGTCGAGCAAGATCCTGCGCATCAACTCGCTGCGCAAGGACATTGCCCGCGTGCTCACTGTCATGAACCAGAAGCAGCGTGCCAACCTGCGCGAATTCTACAAGGGCAAGAAGTACATCCCCCTCGACCTCCGCGCCAAGAAGACCCGCGCCATCCGCCGCAAGCTCAACCAGGTACGTACAGCGCACGCATTGTAGCGACAGCGACGGCAGCAGGCAGCAGACGGCCTTAGGAGGAGTTCGCCGTTTGGATCATGTGGCAAACTTGGAGCATCGGCAGGATATACTGGCAGACAGACAGAAGCAGGAGAAAGGAGAAGCTGGAGGTCTTGTCAGCTGGATTCAATAGGTCAGGACCAGGACGGACAACATGGCCTTACGCAAGGTCAGCATCGCTTTTGGTTGGATTCAAAGCCAGTAGTTTGCAGCATGGAAAGGACGAGTAGGCTGGATGTATAAGCAGAGGCCAATGCACGGCGCTGGGAAAAGGACGCACGAATCCATCGACTTGCTGGCGAGACACTGCACCGTCTCTAATGCCATCGCTGTTCGCACTCGCACCCAGACCCCAAACGAACACGCCCCACTGACACTTGCGACCTCGTTCCATCCTTCCACAGCACGAGCGCACCCGCATCACTGAGCGCCAGCACAAGCGCGAGGTGCACTTTGCCAACCGCAAGTTCGTCCTCAAGGCATAAATCTAGCGCCCTTTGTTTCCCTTTTTCTTGCACACGATCCCCTTCTATGCAACTTGTGTATTAGCACCCCACCATCCACAACCCCGGCAAAACCTTGCGGCCTTTAGTGGCGTAAGCGTGTAGCCAAACACACACCCCAAAATATTGATCACGCCCTCCGCATATGGAGCGTCGAGTCGCCCCAACTTTCGTACATCCTGCGTGTGTGAGCATTGTGTTTTGTGGAAGAAGCGTGGCTTGGTATTGGGAATGGTCCTCTGGGCGGCGTGAGTTGGTTCGAGCGCAGGTTTCGTGGTCCGGGAGACAGGCTCGAGGCTCCATGCAGGGACGTTGGAGGCACACTGAAGGCACACTGAAGGCACAC